GGCGCAGCGGACTCCCGACCGCGAGCAGAGAGAGAATTCTATGTTGATACGTCCAAGGTAATTATTGTAGTTTTACATGAAATGGATCCAATGACAAGTTCATCTTGAAGATACTTTGATCGTTGAAGGGAATGACAATGTATGATATTCTATTATCACCTTCAAACACAGAATCGACCGGAAAAAAAAAGATTTTGAGTTTAGAGCTAAAAACCTATTAGGTTGGTTAGCTAATAAAAACAGTGCTAAGTGTGGCAGTGCATGCTTTAAACGTCGTAGACCACATTTCAAAATTTAAAAACAAACTACTAACTAAATAGAAAACTATCTTAAGAGAGCAGATCCAACAGCACTGTAGCTATGAAAATCATCACAAATCTATTTCCTTACAAAGTGGTCCACACAAAGTTAGAACATGAAAGTAGACATCTTGAAAGGCAGTTTTCCTTGTTTTATGCTCTTAAATCAAAAATAAAATAAAAATCAAGGTATTCGTGCTGATATCCACGAAGAGAATCTGATTTCCTTAATGCTTTCAAGCTTCAAAATAAACCACTCTATGGTTAATTGGAATAATACATGACACGACCAACTAATGGTAACTACAAATGCATTAAGTATTTGTCATTAAAATGATACGCTAAATTTACTTCTGATACATGAGTAATGCTCAGAAGAAGTGCACTGTCATTTCGCCAAATTATGGATCCAAATGTTCATCTTCTAATTCATACATTGGTAAAAAGCAAAAAAGAAGTAAACATATTAGAGTCTAACATCTAACTAAAGTATGGGAAGATTACAAATGAAATGTCAATTAAGTTTTGCAAGCCGATATTTCACCAGCTGGCAACAGTGAGATATGAGGCTGAAATTGGCGCAAGATAGACTTATATGCAACCATTTCGCATCTTGCAATTAATACAGCATCATTACAAACATGTTATGAAGTATGAACTGCATTTATAATGGGAAAATAATTGTAGAACAAGACTTCCAAGTATCCGAATTCCTCGGTCATATTCTTTATATTAAACAAGTTAGATCAGATGTGAATAGTGAAAATTATACCGTGCGAGCAGAAAGATTCAGTTGGACCCTACAAGATACAAGAATCTAACGAAGCATTTAAAATTCACATCATTGAAGTCACATCATCTGATAAAAAAATCAGAAGCAAAAAAGCGACTCAATCCCCAGCGAAGACTATTTGTAGTAAGTTAGAAGCACAGCAACTTATCCACTAAGTCAGGTTAGATATCTTAAGAATGACGTTATTATCCATTCACTATAATACACATTACACGAGTTTGGGCCCAAAAAAAGTGACTCAACAAGATTCGAATCTCCCAATCACAGCTAACCCCACCCAAATATTGCCTTTCTTGACAAGAATCAACCGTCGTTTCATCAGAGATCTGATGAGTGACAACCCTACTGTCACTCAGTTGGTCCCATAACTCAACAAAATATCCAACAACCCGCACTCTATATCAAAACCCTACAAGACCCTGAAGCTAACTGTCAAATTCGCAAAGCTCTATAACAAATTTATGCAAAAAGATAGAACCTTAGGCTTATTAGCAAAAGAACTACCTAAGCCTCGAGCTTCCAAACTTGGTTTGCTGCTGATAGCTGCTACGGACGGCACCTGGCCGCCCTCTACCGCCGCTTCTTCATGCCGAAAACACTGCGGCGACGCGCGCCGTACTCCCCCGCCGGAAAAGCCAGATCGGTCATCGGATTCAGCGCTGCGGCTGCGGCCTCGGCTCGTCGGCGCCACCACTGCTACCGTCAGCCGTACTGTTCTCGCCTCCCCCCTCTTTTTGTCTCACCGGTCCTCGCGCTGGACCACCACGCGCCGCTCGAGGCCACGCCGGCCGTGGGCTCGCACCGCCGCCGCCAAACGTGATCACCGGTCGGAGCTCTGACTGGCGGAAGGCGGGAGGCGGTGGAGGACGGAGGATGGGCGGAGGGAGTCCGCCTCTCGTAGGATGCGAGGATCCTCCTCCCTCTGTTGCGTCGCTGTCGTCGCCTGTTCTACTTTGTTTGACTCTGTTCTTTCCTCCATTGCTCATAAATAAACCCTAAAAACCCTAGAAAAGCTCCTTTTTACAGTCAACAGACGCTAGATCGGCAGTCAAGGGAGCCTAGAGATCCTACGCCTTCCGATTTCGCGCTCAAGGTTTCTAGGGCTTCAGCTAGCTGCCCCGTGAGACGAGCTGCGGTGCTGAAGCTCCGTCAGGGACACAGAAGGAATTTTACCGTTTGATGTGGGTGGTTTTTTTTTTTTTTGGTCCTTGTATATAGAAACACCCTGATTTCTCCCGGCGGTCGGGAAACCGTAATTCGGTCGGCGGCCGAACAAGGTTTTGATGATTTAAAGAGAGGCTTTGAAATGGGGAGGAAAGAGCAAGCAAATAAAATGGAAATAACAAATAATAATAAAAAATATAATATTAGTAATTAATTAATTAATGGCAATAAAGATGGAAGATATTTTTGAAATTTCGTAGAGGAGGGAATATTTTAATCGTGGGAGCTCGAAATTTGTATTGTTTTAATTTAATAATTTATTAGTAAAGAGACGGGCAGAGTTGGAAAAGAAAAATTACGACTTTATTCCATTTTTTTAATACATAAAAAAATCGGGAAATTTGCGGATTTGAAGGGGAGGAACGTTGGAGGCCCGCCTTTTGCCTACCACTGACCTGCTACTTGTCTTTTTTGTTAGGTCTTAAAAAGTCGATGGAAATGGCCTTGGGAGTTGGAGGCATTTACGGTTTGTGCCACCGCGCGTCTCGTGCATCGCGGTGCACGGTCCGATTGCTGGCTGGGTTTTTCTGGATCTGCTGACCTGCAGTGGGGGTTTGACCTTTGACCGTCGACGGCGGGATTATGTGGTTGAAAAGATGCTGTCTCCGGTTGGGGAAACTCTTCGATGGGTTGGCTGTCTTCACAAGGCGGTGTTTGTTTTCACTACTGGACAAGAATAGGATTAGGAATCCGGTTTTTTTTATGGATTCCAACCTATTGCATAAAAAGTTATAAGACAAGTTTGTAGTTTCATGAAATCTCTTTTTTTTACATTCTATGTTTGTTTCATAACACGGAAAAATATAATTCAAACTTTATAAAAACCCTCCAATTCCTAATCTCTAGTTTGGTTTGGAATAAGAATTTTTTTGGATAAACACGGTAGCAATGGCTAGTTCAATATTCAAATCTGAAACATTGCAGCAACGGTTAGTTCCAAAGCCTTGGAGGCTATAAATTTAACTTGAGGGCTTATTTTTCTAATGCATTCTTTATTCTTACCAATTTATAAATTCTCATTGTTTGCAATATGCCTTCCCGACATCAATATGATATCAGAAGAATACACCCAAAATTATAAAGTTTGTTGCGAGTACAATCTCCGAACACCCATGAAAGTGTGCAAGAATGATAAAAATAAGGGAATGTGTTACTGGGGGTGTGCAAAATTCCCAAATAAAGAATGTAATTTTTTCGAATGGGCTGATGAAAGAGGAGAAATAAGCAGCCAAGGAAACCAATATGTCAAAGAAAATAGGTACGGAGATAAATATTTTTTGAAATCAAAGAGGATGAAAAAAGAATTGAGACTTGTCGAAAATCAACTATTAGCTTGGAAATTTTTAGTAATTTTATTAGCAATTTTTTGTATTATTTTAATTATTATAAATCGCATGCCATGTACTTGTACTTGCAAAAACTATTGATATTATAATGAAAACTGTTATTGGAATTGAGTACAAATTCTAGTTGATATTGTATGGCTCAAGAATAGATCAACTTGTCAAAATTGAATGCCCCACATATAACTAACAGGTTTATTGCAGATTACATTCTAATGATGGATTGTCTCGCCTAGACATTGTCAATTCAATGTAAGCTGCAATCTCATCACGTTTTGCCTCATCTGAATATAATAAACACTGTAAGTTAGATTGCATTCTCAATAAACGCTAATCGTCATCATTGCCAAATATCAACTATGGAGCACATCATGCTTCAGCCACATGTCAACCAATAGCAACATAACCCTAATGTTTGAGATCAAAACCGACAGCAGAAAAAATGCACAAAAAAACCCAAAGCCAAAGAGCTAAACAAGCTCCACCTGATAGTAAAAACCCCAAAGCCAAGGAGCTACACAAGCTCAAAAACTGACAAAGCGTAAAACCCAAACGTAGGAGCTACACAAGCTCCACAAACCTGATGGCAAAAAACCCAAAGCCAAAGAGCTAAACAAGCTCCACCTGACAGCAAAAACCCTAAAGCCAAAGAGCTACACAAGCTTAAAAACCGACAAAGCGTAAAAACCCAAACGTAGGAGCTACACAAGCTCCACAAACCTAATGGCAAAAAACCCAAATCCAAAGAGCTAAACAAGCTCCACCTGACAGTAAAAACCCCAAATCCAAGGAGCTACACAAGCTCAAAAACCAATAGCAAAAAACCCAAACGCAGGAGCTACACAAGCTCCACAAACTTGATGGTAAAAAAACCCAAAGCCAAAGAGCTAAACAAGCTCCACCTGACAGCAAAAACCCCAAAACCAAGGAGCTACACAAGCTCAAAAACCGATAGCAATAAACCCAAATGTTTAGTACATGCTAAGAAATATTAAAATGGGTTGCGAACAGTAAGAAAATAAGACAAGTTATTACATCGAGATAGAACAAATAACACATTAAGTTAATCCACTTTCCATTGTGTTACCACCATTATACTTTGCACAATAATGCACCCATATCGCCCAAGCAATTTGATCTCGTACCTTCTTCCAGTCATTTCTTTCGTCTCGATCCTCTCACTGTGTCCTAGTTTGAGTATAATCCACCACACTTGAGTCGTCTTCATTTGCCACTTCCCCATTATCTTCATCAATTTCTATATTTTCATTTAAAATATCATCATCCGGATCTTCTATAGCAATGAAATT